GGTTCGAAGAATAAGCGGGGTAGCTACACATGCTATCATGAGCTATGCGACCATTGATCGCTCTTGCTGCGCGTTTGCAGTAAATCTCACTGTCTTTCTTCCTGCTCGAATCATCGCGTCAAGTTCTACTATACTGCAACATTGTCGCGTCTGGAATAACAAACACTATGGGAAAGAAGAAGGTTCTCGTGAGCTATGGAGTTGACATCGATGTAGGACTTGTTCTGAGCAGCAAGTTATTGCGCAGTTACTGACTGGGCGATACTAGGCTGTTGCTGGCTGGCTTGGTTCATATGGGGGTGAAGACTCCACGAGTGACATCAGTCGGGGTATGTTTGCTGTCTGGCATTGGAGGTCGGGCTCTTGCTTACATGATGCAGGTCTCTGGGCTGGAACAATAGGAACTCAGCGCCTGCTGAAGCTTTTCGACAAGTACGGAATCAAGGCAACATGGTTCATCGTGAGCTCCAACTGTTTCCGAAGCTACAATTGCTGGACTGATTGTTTATAGCCCGGTCACTCTCTCGACACCTTCCCCGAAGACTGCGCTGCTGTACGAGATGCAGGACACGAGATCGGACTACACGGCTACTCGCACGAGAACCCCGCCGACATGACCTTTGAGCAACAACGCGATGTTCTTGACAAAACCTACAAGCAACTCACTGCTTTCTGCAATGGCAAACCTCCGCGAGGCTCCGTCGCACCCTGGTGGGAGACGTCCAAAGAGGGCACCGAGCTACTGCTCAGCTACGGCATCGAATACGACCACTCAATGTCGCACGAAGACCATCGCTGCTATTGGCTACGCACGGGCGATGAGTGGACCAAGATCGACTATACCAAGAAGGCGACAGAATGGATGAAACCGCTCACGAAGGGAAAGGAAACGGGTCTGGTAGAGATACCGGGCAGTTGGTATATCGACGACCTACCGCCAATGATGTTCATGAAGAAGAGCGCGAACAGCCATGGATGGGTAAATCCGAGGGACGTGGAACAGATATGGATGGACCACTTCGATTACTTCTATCGGGAGTACGACGAGTTTGTCTTCCCAATGACAATCCACCCGGACGTCAGTGGAAGACCACATGTTGTGCTCATGCACGAAAGGTACGTCCAGAGAGAACGTAGAATGCGAAGATGGGTACTAATGAGGTCGTAGGATAATCGAGCACATCAACAAACACGAGGGCGTGGAATGGGTGACCATGGAACAAATGGCGGACGACTTCAAGAAGAATAACACGGTACCCGAGAATGCGATGATGCCGTCGCCGCGCGGTGAAATCCTGAAGCTGCAGAAGGAAGGCAAGGCGTACTCTCTGCTTGATTACGATGGACCTATGCCAAAATAGCGACCAGATAGTCCCATTGCTGTATAATTCAAGAGATTCGCAGAACTTCATTAGCCGTGACATCGTCGTCTCCATGTCTGTGAATGAGACCCGCGTGCCTATATCGGAATGATCGGAACAGTATTCCGCACCTTGAAGCTATGGCCACCGCGTTACTGCATACCCCTCACGCCAGCCACCTGTGCATCTTCCAACCATCACGTTCCCCCCACTCTTGCATCAATGCACCAAACGACCATCCGTAGACGCGATTATACCCTTCATACCCACCAATCGAGCGTTCCCCCATCTTGGACCTCCACTGCACCAGAGCTCGGATGCCGGGCTAGCTCGATAAGCGCCATGGACTTGATCTCCTTCCATCGGTCCAGTGACTGTCAGCCAACTAGCTGTCACGCGTATCAATCGCGATAGGTGGGTGAACATGGCTATGTGTGATGACGGTACGAGTAGTGAATGTATGCTGGAAGTGTTTACACTCTTCATGGACGATACGACTGTCACGCTGGCATCGACCTTGCTTTTTCCTTGGTTATCCAATACTGAACTTACTTTATTTCGTTGAGAGCTTCAAACTTGTGACATCATGGTTGGTGTTAAACCTCAGGTTATCCAGAAGCAGCATAGAGATGAGTCCAGCAAGCTCGACGTAAGATTCGCCGATGAACCTAAAAGAGCGACAGCTAATGAGAATAACAAGGTCATAATCGTCGGCGCTGGTCTAGGCGGTCTCGGTGCTGCCATATCAATCCTCCTCGCCGGTCACAATGTACACATCCTCGAGTGTACTTCAGAGATAGGCGAAATCGGCGCTGGCATACAATGTCTTCCCAACTCCTCGCGCGTCCTCATAGCCTGGGGTCTAGAAGACTACCTCTCGAAACACGCTACCTCGCCACGGCTGTGCAACATGATCGGTTGGAAAGGCAATAAGATAAGCGAGATGGACTTCCACGAATACGAGAAGGAATGCGGCACACCCTTCTGGGACTTCCACAGGGCGAACCTGCACATGGGACTGTTGGAAAGAGCGGTGGAGCTTGGCGCGAAGCTCACGACAAAGGCGCGTGTGGTAGATGTTGAGTACGAGGCCGATGTGGAGAACAACGCCACAAGAGCCATCGCCGTGTGTCAGGACGGGACAAGACACAAAGCCGATCTGGTTGTAGGCGCCGATGGCATCAACTCGAAGTGTAGAGAGATACTACTCGGCCACGAGGACCCTCCACAACTTACTGGCGACTTGGCTTACCGACTACTGCTCAATACCGCGGACATGCTCAAGGATCCTGAGCTCAGAGGCTTCGTGGAAGACCCGCAGGTCAACTACTGGATAGGCCCAGATGCCCACGCCGTCAATTATGTCCTCCGCGGTGGGAAGCTCTTCAACATGGTGCTGTTAGTACCAGATGATATGCCCGCTGGTGCGAACACACTTGCTGGGAATGTCGAAGAGATGCGTGCCCTGTACAAAGACTGGGATCCACGGATACCCAAGTTGCTCGCACTCTGCCAGGAGGTGGCCAAGTGGCGGCTGATGATTCGGCCTGGTCTCGATCCCACTTGGTCTCATGAAACGGGTGCATACACCATCCTCGGCGACGCTGCACATGCCACTCTACCTTATCTTGCATCGGGCGCTGGTATGTCTTTGGAGGATGGACATGTTCTCGGCCTATGCTTAGGTAAGATCAAGAGCAAGTCCACGGCAGAGAAGAAACGTGCATTAGCAGTTTATGAACGCTGCCGTCGCGAACGCACTGAAAGGGTCGTGTCGCGCGGCAATCGTCAGCAATATCTCTATCATGTCCATGATGGTCCTGAACAAGAAGAACGCGATAGCACGCTCCGCGCTTTTGGTGAGTTTAATGGTAAGGGAAGGATAAGCAAGGAACAGTATGAAGAAAAGGGACTAAAAGTTGGCGATGACCCTTTGGCATGGAGATGGGGCGGGGTGGGTAGCTGGCTTATCACATACGTTTGTGAAGATGATGTTGAGAAGAAGTGGAAAGATTTTGAGAGAGAGACGAGGGCTGAGGCAAGAAGTAATAGTGAGGTGAGGGCTGTGTTGTAAATTACGGATGATTAATGGGGTTGTTGTTGGTATTGCCGACTTTTAGTGAAGAGCTGTATGTAATGAAACCATCCAGGGTTTATCCGTTGGGTATCTAACTGTTGTCGAACTGACTTGTCTCTCCGAAATACCTGGTGTCTGCCTAGAGAAGTATTTGTCTACGCCACAGCCTGCAGGGTCTGTAATGAGCAGGCATCAGCGCCACCACAATGCACAGCCGCAATGCTGCCACCATCGTCACTGACGCCAAAAAGCCAAGCAGGCAGAACAACCACGTCAGTCACTTTGAACTCTAAACATCCAAGCATCGAAATGATGCATGATGTATCCTACGTGTCAGGCTCTCATTTCCCGCCTTCCAAAAGACGTGGCACGCCAGCAGTGGTATACACGCATCAGGCTGACCACTCCGCCTCGTCTTCCGTGACGTAGCAGGCATCACGGGGCACTTTCCATGTGCAGCGGAGGAATCGCAAAGCTGTACGTTGTAGAGGATGCATCGTCCGCTTCACTGTTTGGGAGACGAAGGATTGTTGGGCATCATTGATGGTATATCAAAGATGGCGCATCGTCTTGCTTTCTGGTTCACCTTAGCTCCCGTCTCGCATGCTGCTGTTGTGCCCTGCGGGGCACGTTTCCTTCGCGCAACGAAGTGCTGTCATACCGCCGCCACAACTTGTCGATTACACTTCACCCAGGTACTCAGCCACGGTTGGGGGGGGGGGGGGGGGGGGGGGGG